ACACACACACACACACACACACACACACACACACACACCTATAGAAGCAGACACACACTTGTATTTCTATGATTGTGAGGACACTGGCTGCCGCTGACCTCTGACCTTCGCTCTCACATCAACATCAGACTCTCAAACAGAATCTCAGGTCCTCAGACGTTTGTCTTCAGGCTGACGAGACTTTATTGGAAGTTCATGTGAGGACGGACTCGTCTGGAGGCTTCAGGACGGATCCACAGTGAGTCGTCTCCCTGTTTCTTCATCATTGAATTCCTCTGATCGTCTCTTCCTTCACTCGACATCTGAACCCTCGTCTCTTCCTGATCTTAGTTTTCTCTTCACAGAAGTTTTGAAATATTTTTTTCCTCTCATTCCAACGAATGTGGAAACGTCACAAACCTTCCGCTCTTTAAAATGAATCTTCTTCAAAAACTTTAAATGGCTCCGAACAGAATCAAATTCATCTCTGAGGTTTTCAGATTAAAATGGGTTTGAATATGAAACCTTTCTGTTTTTCTGTCTCCTCGTGGAGCTCCGACTGTTCGTGTCACGTCACAAGAGAGGACAGTCACATGGAAGATGTAGACACGCCCTCCTCTGACCCCAACCTGTGCGGTGAGGTGTCGTGTTGTTGCTATGGGCAACAAGTGTGAGCTTGTCGAAACCATGGTAACACCAGAAAGAAGGGTAGGGGTAGTCAGGTGGCGCCATCTGGTGGTTGCACGTGTGCTGTGCCTGCTTTGAGCACACGGTCATATGTGTTTCTATTATTTATTTCTTTTCTATTTATTTCTTTGAATTCTTGAGTTTTTATTCAGATTTCTTTCATGTGATTGAGTCACTGTGTTTATATCCGGTTTCAAACATGTTCTTGTTTCTCTTGATCTTTGTGTTCTGGGTTTTTTGTCTTTACATCAGACGCTGTGGACTCTCTTTGTCCTCTGACTCTGTGAGGACAACTGTCACTGGACGAGGACAAAGTTTCCTGCTGAAATAAAAAGCAGCTGCTTGTTAAGTCATCATCATCTGTGACTCTGACACAGACTCTCTGTGACATGGTGAAGATTCACGTTTAGAAATCTCCAAATCTCATATCACATCAGATCCATGGTTCGTGTTGTTCATCTGATAAAACAGTCGTGAACGTGGGATCACAAGTAATCTATTACCTGAGCCCGCAGCGTGCATGTGAGCGCGTCACCGTGAGGAGAGGAGGTGCGCAGCGTCACACCGGGACAGACACCCGGACAGAGACACCGGGACAGAGACGGTTCCCCGGAGGAGTCTCACTCGTCTTCGTTTATTAATATTTGTGAGGACACATCCGCTCCATGGGAGCAGGATTCTCATCAGAGAGAAGAAGAAGAAGATTTTTCTGAAGCAACAGGTTTTAGTTCTGGTCTGAGATGAAGGTTCGTGCGTGAGGAGCAGCTCAGAGGAGGCTGGACTTTCAATCCTGACAATGAGAAACATGAGAGACGCGTCGTGGAGAAATGTCTCTGAAGTTCTGTCGGAGCTGGACGGGACAGGTGAGGAGGAGGAGGAGGAGGAGAGGGAGGGAGGCGCAGGGAGCGGCGGTGTGCGCGTCCTCGTCGGCTGCGTCCTGTTCCTGCTCATCGTGTCCACCTTGCTCGGGAACACGCTCGTGTGCGCGGCCGTGGTGAAGTTCCGCCACCTCCGCTCCAAAGTCACAAACTTCTTCGTCATCTCATTGGCTGTTTCCGACCTGTGCGTGGCCGTGCTCGTGATGCCGTGGGAGGCCATCACCGAGGTCACAGGCACGTGGCTGTTCGGACGCTTCTGTGGCGTGTGGATCGCCTTCGACATCATGTGCTCCACCGCCTCCATCCTCAACCTCTGCATCATCAGCGTCGACCGCTACTGGGCCATCGCCAGCCCGTTCAAGTACGAGCGGAAGATGACCCATCGCGTGGCGTTCGTCATGATCGGGGTCGCGTGGACGCTGTCCATCCTCATCTCCTTCATCCCAGTGCAGCTCAACTGGCACCAGGCGGGCGAGGAGGGCGAGATGATGGAGGAGGAGGTGGTGGCAGTGATGGCCGCCTTAATGAACAGCAGCACCGGGGCCAAGAGCTGTGTCGCAAACTTAAACAGAACCTACGCCATCTCCTCATCCTTCATCAGCTTCTACATCCCCGTGGTGATCATGATCGCCACCTACACCCGCATCTACCGCATCGCTCAGACCCAAATCCGTCGCATCATGTCTTTGGAGCGGGCGGCGGAGCAGGCACAGAACCAAGGCCACAGCGTGAACCAGCAGCACAGGCCCAACGACGAAGCCTCGCTGAAGTCGTCGTTCAAGAAGGAAACCAAAGTCCTGAAGACGCTCTCCATCATCATGGGCGTCTTCGTCTTCTGCTGGCTGCCGTTCTTCGTCCTCAACTGCACCGTCCCCTTCTGTGATCCGCCTTGCGTCAGCGACACCACCTTCACCGTCTTCGTCTGGTTCGGCTGGGCCAACTCGTCCCTCAACCCCGTTATTTATGCTTTCAACGCGGACTTCCGCCGGGCCTTCGCCACCATTCTCGGTTGCAATAGGATCTGTTCAAACAACGCGGTGGAGGCGGTGAACTTCAGTAACGAGCTTGTTTCCTATCAGCACGACACGACCCTCCACAAGGAGGCGCTGGTCCCTGTGCAACAGCAGCAGCATCCTTGCAGTATTAATGCCGGCTGTGACCACCTGGAGGACGTGAGCGCACAGTTTGACGAGGAGTCGCTCGTGTCTAGCGGCTCTCGGAGCCACAACAGACTCCTGCGGCTTCCTGCTGCCGTCCGGTTCGAGGATGACCCGGAGATCTCCTTGGAAACGATCTCGCCGTTCACCTCGGTGGCCGGGCCGGAGAGTGGCGCTCCGATACCTGGACAGGTGCAGCAGGTTGGATAGAACAGAACTACACAGGGATTTTCACTGTGCCTCCTTCAAAATAAAAGAAAGAACTTCAGTTGGGATGAAATCTGATTTGTTCCCCAGAACATTAAGAAAAAACATGAACCATCTAAATTACCGAATGTTTTTCTGTGGATGTTGCTGGTTAACTTTTGTGTTTGTTGAAGCTGAAGCAGATTTAGTTTTTAGATCGAGCTCGCACACACACACACACACACACACACACACACACACAGATTTTGTCAGACATCAATCTTAATTTATTACATGAAGATATTTATTTATTCTCTGTATTAATGTCAAATTGTGTTTTCTGCACCACAGGTCTTGAACCTGAATTAACACAGTTAGCTAAACACAGCGTCCTTCCACTCTTCATCGTCATGGTTACAATAACAGATGATGTGGTTTTGTGGTTTCAGTAAAAGTATTCTGTTAAAGTTAGAGGATCTACGATAAATGATAGACAGTAACTTTGTTTGTGTTATTGTGTCGTACTTTTATTTCAGTAAATGTTCTCAATGCGTGTTCACTGCAGCCAGCCACCAGGGGGCGATACAGTAACTCCAGTCAAATTTGTGTTTCATTGAACGAGGTGATATATGGGCTGTTTGTTATTTAAAATAAATAATGTGAATCTTTAGCACGGAGCTGCGTCTCTGCAGGAATCAGACCAATGATCTCAATCTGACAAAGACAAGAACCTTCAGTGGACGTTCCTGCTCGAAGTGAAGATGTGAAAATAATAAAAGACTTTGTTTGATCCACTCTGCTTCAGGCTGCGCCTCGTGTGAAGGACGTCTCTGCAGGAAGTCACTGTGGTGGAGCCGTCAAAATAAATCAAACTCAACCTGAAGGAAGTTTTATGAGGCTCATGTTCTAACTGTTTTAAGATTCTTCTTTTAAATTTCGTTCGTCCCATTTTAGGTTTGATTTTTTTTTTTTTTTACTGTTTTAAATGTCGTTTTTTTTGTGTTAAGTAAATTGAATTGTTGAGAGAGAAGATAAACAGACAGGGAGGAAGAGAAGGAAAAGAATAAATGATTATACTCTACTCACCAACTGAGCGTTTCCTCTTCGGTGACCAAAAGAGAAGACGTAAGTTAGCGAGGTCGGTGAACAGCAGCAGAGAACGAGCGTTAAAGCACCGAGAAGTTTAATCTGGAGAGTCTGGAGCTGGAGGCGGTCCTTAAATACAGAAGGCAGGTGAGGATGTTATTGGTTGATCAGGATCAGGTGGGTCTGGAGCTGGAGGCGGACACTTTGTTCGAAGAAGAAAAAAATTATTTCAAGTCATAAATGTTTTTAAACTCGCAGCAGAGAGGATTGTGGGACATAAGGAGATAAATTAAATTTCACGGAAACACATGATGATGATCTCCTCTGGTGTTTATAGTATTTTATATTTTATATATATTTATACAAACACACCACGCCAAATTCCTTGTATGTGTGAACCTGCTTAAAACCCAAATGTGATTCTGATCTCAGACTCAAAACTACCTGCTCATCAACGCCCAGTTCTTCAAATACTGATTTAGAAATCGATTAGTAGACGAAGGTGACAGAAGCTGCTCAGAGGAGGAGATGAGAGCCGAGCAGAGGAGGATTCTGGGTTTGATTGTGGAGGTGCTCTTCTTCTCTCTCTGTTTTCTTTCATCTTCAGTCGCTGGTGGAGTTGAAACAGAGGAGACGACTCATCGACCTCACAGCTGTCGTCTGCTGCTCCAGCTGTTCACACTCATACACAAATATAAAACATGAGGAAACACCAAGGGTGGAGGATGATAGATAAATAAAAACTGTTTCTGTGCATCAAGAAAGAATATAAATATTTGACTTCTCTATTATTATCTTCTCAATGATGTGACACTGAGGGACACTTAACAAGAACAAGCTCACTCTGTCCTCGCTCTCCTTCAAGACACACACACACACACACCATCTCCCTCCTTGTTCTTTCATTTCCATTTAGACGATGGAAGCTGACTTTTAAAGTGTAATCTCCATCAGAATCTCCAGATAATGAACCAGCTGCATTTAAACGCAGCGTTCGTCTGAATCCTCCACAGGCAGTGGAGTGATGTCATCCAGAGTGTGAAGATGTTTCAGTTCAGTGAAATCAGTGAAATCGGTGACTGAAGCAGCTTCGTGTTGAACATCAGTTTTTCTCTGACACACTCTCTGATTGGCTGAGAGTCGCTGCTGCTTTTTGTTGCCTCCTTCATGTCATGGAACTGAAGCTGTGACTTTAAAACATTTGACTGAGATGTTGCTGCGTCCAGAAGAGACACTGAAGTGATTCCTGAAGTGTGTGTGTGTGTGTGTGTGTGGGTGTGTGGGTGAGTTTGCTCTGTGTTCTTCAGTCGTGCAGCCTCTTCTCAAACAGACTGAAATCACCTGATGATGATATTTATTTAAATGGAACATGTGAATTATCACTGAATTAAAACTACTTAAATATCTTTGTGAAGATTAAGAACACTTTGATTTAAACCATATGTTCACACTCTCCGACCTGAAGTCCAATTAGATCCAAGTGAAAACGCCCATGGAACTGACGAAGTCACGTTGACACAGAACATTTACACACAAGTCTCTAACAATCAAAGCCAAAGAAAAGAGAAAAACAAGAAGAAAACAGAAAACGTCCTACGATAGAAAAACAAAGGTCAGAATTTAAAGAGATTAAAATGATTGATTGAGGGAAGCAACAGAGAAAAGCTTTGTCCCCAGCGATTAAAACACAGATGAATATTTCTACTTCTAAACAAAAATCGAACATCAACCAAAACCAGATGTGTCGTCTCAGAGAGGAGAATGAAGCAGCTGAGGAATAGGGCTTTGAAAAGCTGCAGCTGTTTCCCTGTGATCTGCTGCACAACGTCGACCCAGAGACGAGAACATGAAGCTGCAGGTTCGGTGCCAGGTGATCATCGCTGGAACATCCTGTGACTGCACGAAACAACCAATTAAGTATTTAAATCACGACACATTGGTTCATCAGATGTCGTCATAGAAACCATCCCACGGTTCTAACAGTTAGAAAACATTGATCCAGAAAGAGCCGGATTTACCAGATGTGTTTCAGTGTTTGTGATTCTTATCTACATTTTATTTGTGTTTCATTGTCTAATTATTATTGTGTTTTCCCTCTGACGATCAATAATACCATGAATTCCCATAATCCACCACAATTTCATCTTTTAGTGACAGTGTTTAATTAAAAATATGATCAATCCGACCCTTTTGTACGATTTCAGGCTAGATAATCAAATAATCAAATAAATATCTGTGATCAGCACCGATCACATTTGAACAACATGTAATTCGATTTTAGTAACAATGTTTAAAATGGCATGCATGATCAAATATTGATTTAAACATTTTAAACCTTTGACATTTTTCCTTGATTTCATTAAGAAGTTTGTCTGACATGCACAGTTTCGCAGAGCAGTGCGCCACCTTGTGGTGGGAAAAAAGAAGGTTTGAGGTTAATTTATCTGTTTGAAAATCATCTGAACCTGAAAACATCAGCGTCACTTCATACCTGAGCAACAGGAGAAGATCTGAGTCCACTGACAACAGAGCGTTTCATCTTCAGTCTCATCACATTCTCTTACCTTCTGTCTACTGTCCACACACACACACACACACACACACACACACACACACACACACACACACAAGAGGTTGTGGTGTGGTGTAATCGCTGCAGTGATCAGGACGGACGAGGCGACACAGATGATAGATTACTGATTGCGGCGGCTTCTCAACGACCATTGAAAACCAGAAAGTGGACACTTCTGTTTGCTATGAAGGACTCGAAGTCATCCGGTGCTCGTCAGACACACACACATACTCACACACACACTCACACACACACACTCAGACGTTGGACTCTCTGGTGAATTTGAATCGTAGATAAAGAGACGACCAGGTTCAGACTTGAGAGCGTAAAGAAAGTGCCGTACAATCTTACTCGATATGCATTTCACTGTTATCGGGAGAAATGATGTTTCAGCCTCAGTTGTTTTTCAACTGAAGCACTTTGTGTCTCCAGAAATGTCCCGACACCAATTTGACCTTTCCTCCCAGAGAGACAAAATGTCTCCGAAGACGTTTTCAGTCGTGAACTCCGGATAATGTCCAATTCTGCTGTGGAAAGATCTGGAATATCATCGTCTGTCCAAGTTAAACTCAACATGACTTTATCATTCATCATTTATCATTCATCATTCATCATTCATCATTTACCTTTCATCTTTCATCTTTCATCATTCATCATTTATCATTCATCATTCATCATTNCATTCATCATTCATCATTTACCTTTCATCTTTCATCATTTATCTTTCATCTTTCATATTTCATCTTTCATCTTTCATCATTCATCATTTATCATTTATCATTCATCATTTATCATTCATCATTCATCTTTCATCATTTATTATTCATCATTCATCATTTATCATTTATCTTTCATCTTTCATCTTTCATCATTCATCATTCATCTTTCATCATTCATCATTCATCTTTCCTCATTCATCTTTCATCTTTCATCATTTATCATTCATCTTTCATCATTCATCATTCATCATTCATCTTTCATCATTCATCTTTCATCTTTCATCATTTATCATTTATCATTCATCATTTATCATTTATCATTTATCATTTATCATTCATCATTTATCTTTCATCTTTCATCATTCATCATTTATCATTCATCATTCATCTTTCATCTTTCATCTTTCATCTTTCATCTTTCATCATTTATCTTTCATCTTTCATCTTTCATCATTTATCTTTCATCTTTCATCTTTCATCATTCATCATTCATCTTTCCTCATTCATCATTCATCTTTCATCTTTCATCTTTCATCTTTCATCATTCATTATTCATCTTTCATCATTTATCATTCATCATTCATCATTTATCATTTATCTTTCATCTTTCATCTTTCATCATTCATCATTCATCATTCATCTTTCCTCATTCATCTTTCATCTTTCATCATTTATCATTCATCTTTCATCATTCATCTTTCATCATTCATCTTTCATCATTTATCATTTATCATTCATCATTCATCATTTATCATTTATCATTTATCATTCATCATTTATCTTTCATCATTCATCATTTATCATTCATCATTCATCTTTCATCTTTCATCTTTCATCATTTATCTTTCATCTTTCATCTTTCATCATTTATCTTTCATCTTTCATCTTTCATCTTTCATCATTCATCATTTATCATTTATCATTCATCATTTATCTTTCATCATTTATCTTTCATCATTCATCTTTCATCATTTATCTTTCATCTTTCATCATTTATCATTTATCATTCATCTTTCATCTTTCATCTTTCATCATTCATCTTTCATCTTTCATCATTTATCTTTCATCTTTCATCATTTATCATTNCATTTATCATTTATCATTCATCTTTCATCTTTCATCTTTCATCATTCATCTTTCATCTTTCATCATTTATCTTTCATCTTTCATCATTTATCATTCATCTTTCATCATTCATCATTTATCATTCATCTTTCATCATTTATCTTTCATCTTTCATCTTTCATCTTTCATCATTCATCATTCATCATTCATCTTTCATCATTTATCATTTATCTTTCATCTTTCATAATTTATCATTTATCTTTCATCTTTCATCTTTCATCTTTCATCTTTCATCATTCATCTTTCATCTTTCATCATTTATCTTTCATCTTTCATCATTTATCATTTATCATTTATCATTCATCATTCATCATTCATCATTTATCATTCATCATTCATCATTCATCTTTCATCATTTATCATTCATCTTTCATCATTTATCTTTCATCTTTCATCATTTATCATTTATCATTCATCTTTCATCATTCATCTTTCATCATTCATCATTCATCTTTCATC